GTGATAGAAGAAAATCAGCATAAATGGCTAGGGTGTGTCTGTTTTGTTTGTTGTGTAAACAAAAGTCAACGCAAATAGAATTCAAATTATTTTCAATTGACCATCTGAAAGAAGAGCTGCTGCCTCTTGAACAGGTTGGAAAGTGGGGTTATTTTTGCTTCAAACTCAGAAGCATTTCCACTCATCAAGAGTAATAGTGAGTGATAGAAGAAAATCAGCATAAATGGCTAGGGTGTGTCTGTTTTGTTTGTTGTGTAAACAAAAGTCAACGCAAATAGAATTCAAATTATTTTCAATTCTTTCCCCTCATGCAAACAAAAGTCAACTCAAATAGAATTCAAATTATTTTCAATTCAGTTCTTTCCCCTCTTGTTATGGATATTTACAGGGCAGAAACCACAACACCTGGAGAAAGCTGTCATGAACAAGCCTCAGCATGGCTAGTATTGGGATTGAAAGTCCAATTTAGTCATCCATTGCTGTATGAGTTCTGAACACATAGTACAGAAAAAAAGCAATCATGAGGTTGACATCATCGGTGTCTTAGGCTGGTGGACGAAAGGACTCTTACTTTGTGAGGCTCAGCCTTAGTGTTAACTAGAGCTGCCTTTTACAGCCTTAGTGTTAACTAGAGCTGCCTTGAATGGTAAATGGAAATCCAGTAGACTCAGATCCCTAGTAGAGTGGGGAAATTAAAAGCAGAATTTCATGGTGCACAATAGCAAGAAGATGCAGTTGCCCTTGGATTTCAGTCCTTTTATTTCTTCAGCAGGGTAAGTCACTAAGAGATCGTGAAAAAGGACCTAGCCCAGCAGGAGGAAACATAGGAGGAAACGTGTTTTTGAACAGGTTTCTATATTTCTTTTCCTTAGATGAAAGACAGAATCATGGACAGTGCAGATGCAAAGACCTCCAGGCTTCTATGGGTTGGCTTAGCTCTGATGTCAACACAAGGGGGAGCATTGGCATGGCTTACGTGGTGGGTGTACTCGTGGGACATCATGGAGCCAGTCACATACTTCATCACCTACGGGAGTGCCATGGCTTTCTATGCCTACTTTGTTCTTACTAAGCAGGTAAGACCTCATTTTGTAAATGTCCAGAATATTGAGAAGGAGGAAAACTGACTCTGAGGATCACAGTCTTTGGGCTCTGATGAAAGTAGAATATAGTAGGTAGCCTTGCCATCAGACAGGGACTTGTTTAATCCCTAGTGGGGGTGGATATGAACGTTACATTATGCAAAACCAGGCCAGGTACTGTTGCATATGAACTGCAGACCAGCTGCTGAGCATAACTGTTATGAGTAAGACTTTGTAACCTAGGGAATGAAGAGTGATGAAAGAAATCTCTCCTTTAAAATGTTTGTAGATCACTTTGCAAAGTAAATGGCACCTTGCTCATTGCTGTGAAAGGAGAGCAACTAGCAGTGCTGTACCAATTTGTGAACGCAAATCACTGCACAGTAGCTTTTATTTGCTGGAGTTTATATATAAACAGTGCAGGGTACCAAACCCTTTGGGATTCTGGCAGTTGCATTACTGAAATGTACCTTATTTAGTGCCTGAAAAAATGTTATTGCTTTGCTCTTCATAATCTGCCTACTTTTCTGTGACATTGAATGAATGGAGGTAAATCTAGGACATGTGAAATGGACAAGGAAGCAAGCATTGTGTAGAAGAAAAAAAGTTTGCTCAGATCTTAGCTGAGCTTCACAACACAGAATTGTTCTGAAATCCTGCAAGACTTGGAGAAATGTTTCCTTTTCCTGTTTTAGCTCTGTATCTTACTCCCAAAATGGACATCTTGATGTTGAACTTTCTGTGATGCAAAACTTTTTTGTTGTGGAGATATGTGGAAGAGTAACTAACATTGTCTTCCATAATACCAATGGATCTATAGACCTTATGAGACATCAAATTCTTTTAGTGAGAAGGGGAGGTGTGTCTGTTTTTATGAAGAGCTGGCTCTGAATGCTTGTTTTATCCCTCCCCAGTTTTTTAAGAAGGGCTAAAGCATTCCTATTTTTTGTATATGAGTAGAAAAAGAGATTATTACTTGGCTTTTTTGAATACCTGTTGGTGCCATTGCTGAAGACTTTCAAATAAGTACTTGAGAAATAGTAGCTGAACTTTCTTGGACTTCTTGTAAGTAGTGTCCATTGACTCAGGTGGCTCCAGTCATGAAGATTATGCTTGGTCTTTATTACAATTGAAAATTCCTATAGATGGGATAGAAATGATTCCTACTATATGTCTAAAAGGCCCTTATGACCTGTAATGGCATAACTTTATATGTAGCCTCTCTACAGAACACACACGTATGTTGAACTAGGTAAATTTTCCTGAAACAGGCCAAATTTCTAATCTTTTGACCTCTACTCAATTTTCTTGCTAACCACAAATGTGTCCTCCTTCCTTCACCAGGACTATATTTACCATCATGCTAAAGACAGGCAGTTCCTCCACTACTTCTATCGGAAATCCAAAAAACAGCATTTTAATGTGGAACGATACAACAAGCTCAAAGACGACCTAGCAGAGGTATTTAAATACAGTCTCTGAAGAATGAGATAACTTCTGGACTTTTCCTGTAAACTCTCAGCTAACAGGGAAGTGACCTCAAGGTTTGCTACTTACATTCAAAACAATGTGCTGCTTATCAGCCAGTTTCAGCTGCTCAGATAACCATACAGTGTTTGCCATTGATATAAAAACTACTTCAGGAAATTATCAGAAAGGGAGACCTCCATGAATTTAACAAGTCAGTCTGTTTATCAGCATGACACATCTATTTTTTGCATACTCTAATTAACTTTGCATTTTTGGCCATTCTAATAGAATAGCTGCATTGATTTTGGGCACAGTGTGTTTGCTGCACTGCTGTGGTAACAGTCTCCTCCCTTCCTTGGCAGGAGTTTGTCTTGCAGAATTTAGCATTTGACATCATAATCATATTTCTTAGGTAAAACACTTTAGGTTTACAGAATATGGGAGACTGGATGGAAAAGGTGGTGTGTGCACCTAGGAAAAACCTCATGGCCTTCATGAAAAAGTGTAGCAGATCTCTCACTCCTCAATTCTTACTCCTCCACCCCCACTCACCAGCTCTGTGTTCAATGTCTCACAAAAGAAAATGGAACCTTTAGTTCCAAATCCATAGTTCAGGGTATAATTTCCTGACCCTCATTTGACATAATGCTAGAGTTTGATGATAGTTCATTTGACATAATGCTAGAGTTTGATGCTTTTTAGGTGGTGAGCATGAATTTTGTAATTGTAATCTTAGGAAAATAATACTTTGGGATGTGGGTGAGTGGCTGAGCAGGCAGGGTACATGCTTCTCTCTGGAGACTGGCTGAATGACCTCAGCAGGTCTGTAAATGTTCAGCATCCTCCATTTGACTGGTTTGTTTTCTTGCCTAAGACCAGTGCCTTCTGAGAAAAGAAAATACTGGATGTGTGAAAGAGGAGGGTACAGAGAGCTGCAGAAGGAAGAACTCTGACTCTTTTTTGCATTGCAGGCAGAAGAATCCCTGAGGAGGCTGCGCCAACCTCTGCACCTGAAGCTTCCCATCCAGGAAATCAATGACAAGGACTGACTTTGGTTTTGTATATATTGGAGTTGCCTTTTCAAAGCTCATATGAACATTTAGTTACTCCAAGGAAACTGGATATTTTTGACCACTAAAATTTTGAAAGTTGCAATAAATATCTAGAAAAATTATTTGGTCACTTGATGATTTGGATTTGTTGTGGTTTTGTTTTGGTGTTTTTTGTTTTTTTTTTTAAACCCTATGAAGAAGCTGCTGAAACAAAGTTCTTCAAGATATTTGTCAAATCTCATTTGGCCTCAGTACAATAGAGGCTTTCTGACTGCAGGTAAAATGACAGGGATGTGTCAGAGAACAAGGGCTGTCTTTTTAGTACCATTTCCTATAGCACAGCAGTAGCTCATAGGATTGAATTTAATTATCCCATGAGCTATAAGATATTAAGGATTCTTTTTCCAGCAATCACTGTTTCCTTTTCCCTAGCTCTGTGCATTGGCTCTGTTGGTGTAACGCCAGTGGTAGAGGTTAGACTTGCATCACAACTAAACTTTTTAAATAAATATTGCTGGAAAAGTATCTTAAACTTGCCATACAAATATTTTTGTTTCACTGTTGTATTTTATTGAAAATTTATCAAAACAATCAAACATACATGATTTATACAAAACTTAAAAGTAGTCATAGCAAGATTTAACATCTATGATTGAGAACACAGTATATGAGAAGACTTAATTAAGGCAGAGCCAGTAAATCAACTGTTTTATCCCCAGGAAAGTAGATTAAGACACTTTGCTCATGGTCTCATTTCACTACTCCTTGCCTTTCTCCTGAGGATGCAAAGCACCAGCAAGCTCTAACTGTGCCCCAGACATAAATGATGTTGAAGTAAAAAGAAAACCTTTATTAATTAATGCTATTTAATTAACCCTATATTAATACTAAATTTGTACTCAAGGAACTCAAGTTCCTTTTTAATGTTGAGAGAAAATTAAAAAAATGTCTGAAAAGCTCAGTAAAGTCACAAAAACAAAAGGTGGATACTTAAAAGATGCCCTACAAACATATTCCCTGTAAACTTGATTGTGAAGCAATCAAGTCAATCTAATGCAACATTAGAAATGTTTTGAAAATAGTAAAATGTGCAGTAGTTAAATGGCAATCAAGCCATTTTTTAAAAGAGAAAAGTAATCTCGATTACCAATTTCAATAATATATAAGCACCTCCTAATAGTTTTGCACCAGTCAACTTTTCCCAAATTCCCTGAGATGAGCAGTTGTAATATTAGCTTTAAAATTGTTTTAAGAAACTATTATGTTTACAAACTATAATGTCTGATCACAGTGGTTTTGCAAGCAATCTTGCAGAATATTAGTCCCCTGAACTAAGACAGTCTTTTGCACTTCTGCAGCAAGTAGTAGTTAATGGTCATCCTCCTTAAAAAAGAATCTACTTAGATTTTGGATGAAAATACAATTTTTTAGTTAACATTGAGGCAAAACAAGGAATCTGCTTTTTTCCTATAGCGTTAATGTCTTTGCATATATCCACTCTGCGATAAGATACTTTCCTGTTAACAACAGTAAGAAGTTCTGTGAACTCCAAGGAACATCCATGTGTCCTAAGTGTCTCACACAAATCTTGAATGTACCAGGAGCCATGTAGTGTATCACGATGAGAAAAGTAGCCTAATGTAGAACAGGAACATAAAATGATACCCAAATGTCAGTAGTGATGCCTCTTGGAAAAGTATTTATGAGAGTCACTGTTTGCTAGCTACCATCTGTTAGAGATTACTAATGGATTTTGCCAATTATGTAATTTCATTGGAAATTGTAGATGGGAGATGGCTTTGAGATCACTTATAATGCTCAGCCAAGAGGGATTGGTAGCTTACAGCATTGTATCTACATGTTACAGGGGAGCAGATAGGACTGAGCACAAGATACACAGAGGACTGGAGAGAACAGCCATGTAGTGCAGGGAAATTCAAAAGCCACCAGAATACTACAGTTCTGAAAAGAGGGGATTGCTTGCTGTCAGCAGACAGCTCAGCAGCAAGATTGATGAAAATGTTCGTGTTTGGCAAATTAACTGCAACCTTGATAGTTTCACTTTTTCTATAAGATGTAAGGTTATTTCCCAGATAAGTGACAACTCGTCAGACATGTAAAACAGGTGACCTGGAACTGTTCTCATTTTTTTTGACTGCAAAATGAAGAAGTGTTCAAGGTTGTTACAGTGAAGTATCAGACAAGGGCTGTAAAATATTAGAACTTACCTTGTGCCACAGAGTAGCACATGATAAAGTCTGCACCAGCAGGCAGAGTATAGACACCAGCTGCATCCACTTCAGTCTCATTGACAGGGGACTCATCACCACTGTCCAGTGCATCATGAGCAACAACTGCATCATCATGTTTATCCCCTCGGCATGCCTGTTGGTGAGAAGTAGTGTTACGCTTCAACCTCTCTGCCAAGCTCACCCATCTTAATATGACACTTCTGACACTAACCAGAGGGGACTTCAGTTAGGTGTTCCACATTACTATGAGCCTAGATTCATGAAGACCCATTTACTTCTCTATTAGTTGAAATACTGGCGACAAAATCCACTGAAAGCTCCAAGATAATTTCAGAATATCTAAGAGGCGAAGTGACCTCTTGAGATCACCTAGTTAAACTCCCATGGTTCAAGCAGGGTTAGCAAGCAGCAGATTGTCCAGGACTATGTCCAGTCAGCTTTTGAGTATCTTCATAGATGGATTCCACAATCTCTCTCAGACCTCTTCCAGTGTCTGACCACCCTCAGATTCCACAATCTCTCTGGGTGACCTCTTCCAGTGTCTGACCACCCTCACAGTAAAAACATGTTTTCCTGTGTTTTGATTTGTTCCTGTCACTTGGGCACCACTGAAAAGACCCTGGCTCCCTCTTAGTTATTCCTTCCCACCAAGTGTTTATAACATAGATAAGATTTCCCCTAGCCATCTCTTCCAAGCTGAACAGTCCCAGCTCTCTCTGCCTCTCCTCACATGAGATGCTCCAATCCCTTAATCATCTTTGTGGTCCTTTGCAGGACTCAATCCAATAAGTCTGTATTTTTCTTGTACTGGGGAACCCAGAACTAGGCACAGGACTTCAGATGCAGCCTCATCAGTGCTGAGTAGAGAGGAAGAATTGCCTCCCTCAGACCTGTTGGCAAGGCAGTGTTGAAGTAATGTTCTGAAGCACAACCATCATTCCATGCAGTTACAGTTCCACTCTTAGTTCAGTCTCACATGTGTTACTTAAGGGAGGAGTTGTTTTGTGAGAAGTGAGCCCAGTATTGTCAGTGATGCAGAAAGGCTACACATGGAGGATAAGAACATACTCAAAGGATATATAGTAGGTAAAGAACATTCCTTAAGAACTACTGCTAAAAAAAGAAAATGTGAAAAATCTTTATAGTGATTAAGTTCCATCTTGCTCTTTCCATCTTGCTCTGATTTCCAAAGGTAAGTGCTATGCCAATTATGCTGTAAAAGAACTCAGCTGATGAACTAAGTTAATTTGCTTTTTGATGAGTATGTGTTATAAATGTTTCCAAGTATTACTTAGAACTTAAAACTGAAACATGAAAATACTTTTCCATCTTTGATACCAGGTCAAAAATCCCAACTAAATTAGTCCTAATGAAAGACAACAACATGCTGATTCTTTTAGCAGCCCTGGGCCTAAGGAAGTTTTCATTCGGAAGAAAAAAACGTACTCAGAATTACTCTGTAAATTACTACAATTACAATCTCCTGAAGGTCATATGTGAGTTTACTAATTGACATCTAGATAAAGATGGGATAAAGTCCTGCATGATGTGGTTTGGCCCTGTAACTCTGCTTTGAACTGGAGGTTGGACCAGAGACCTCCTAAGGTATCTCCCGTGGTTTGGCCTTGTAACTCTGCTTTGAACTGGAGGCTGGACCAGAGACCTCCTAAGGTATCTCCCAACTTGCAGGATCCTGTGAACTAAGGAGTGAAATGGGAGGTTACATAGGGGCTTTATTTAACCACTTGGCACAAACAGTATTTCTGAGACAATAAAGCCTTAAATTGATCCTTTAGATTCTACAGAGATGCCAAGTATTGGTCACAGACAAAAATACCCCACCAATCAAACAAAAAAATCACTACCACCATGAAAAGCAACCAAAAAGTCCATAAAACCAAACAAACCCCAAAACACAAAAAAAACCCCCAATACAACCACAGGGAAAAACAATACCAACTTCAGTAAAGATCATATAAAGTGTCTTGCCTGGAAGGAAGCAATGAAGATACAGAGGTTTGATAGCCTTCTACAGTCTAGCCTAGGGCTGTGAGGTGTTAACTGTATGAACTGAGCTGAGGCTGTGCAGAACTTTCTCACAAAAAAAAAAAAAGGTAATGCCTTCTCTGCCATTAAATATACACTGACAGTCAATCTGACTTGATTTGTGTTTCTCTTCATAAAATTATTTATTAAATACAGCTAGAATCATAATATTAACACTAGTGTACACAAATATTTCTGAAAAAAAGAGAAGAATTCTTGTCTTAATTTTCCTTAAGAAATAGTTTCCCTTGTGGAAAGGAAAGTTTAAAAATGGGAGTTTATCAGGAAAACTGAGGTCTGTATGGCACAAAGACACGGGTGAGTGTTGACTCCACTGAATTCAGAAACAGACATCTTACCTGAATGATAAATATCTTTGGTTTTCCTACCAGACTCTGGCACTTGTTTCCTCTAAACATGTCTATGACTGTCTCAATTTGGATTTTGCCATCATATGCATAAATGTGATCATCCTCACCGTGACTCAGGAACACGCAGACAAAGCAGTCAGCATTACTGTGGTCATCCATAGAGGCTGAAACAGTCAAGTGGTTTTTAGATGATTAAACAGTGGTCTTCAGGTTTAAAAAATATTATACCCTTAAGCCCTTCTAACATTAAACAACTTCCTTGTGCACAAAAATTATTTAAAGATAGATGAACAGAGAGAATGGAAGAAAAGATACCTGGAAATTCTGCTATAAATAATTAGACATAGCTAATATATAGTCTCCTACCTTCATAAATTTGTTCCATCACAGCTTTTGTTGTCAGATCATCAAAAAGTCTCACTTCAAACCCAAGGTCTGTCAAACTATGGTTAAAACACATCAGTATTAGTACAAATCTTACTCATAATGTCAGTTGCTACCAAGTCAGTTGCTTTCCCTGTCAGAGAATGAATATTCATGTTTATGCATTATTTATGAAAAAAACCTAAAGATTTTGAACTCAAACTGGTGTCAAGTACAAGTCTAATACCTACAGTGACTTCAAAGAGTTTGTCCAAAGAAAGCTTTGGACTCACTGAAATCATAGGACTTGTGCCAGCAGTTTCTGTGACATAAAGGAATGTACTGTGAAGCTTTTTATTACTTCTTTCTTTACCAAAGTTGCATGGGTGCTTATGTCTACAAAATCCTTTGGTCCTACTTAAATGCAAGATTTAGTAACTACTAATTCGACCATGATTTCTGAAGTTTAGACTTTTTAAGCTTTTGTAGAGAAACTAAGTTTCTTACCTGCGTTTCAGATTGTCTCTGTCTGCAAAAGTCCCACGTCTGTCTGACAGCCTTAACTGCCAATAAAAGTGCTCATGATTGAAGATTAATGCAATTCCTCTTCTTTGATGGTTCATTTTGTATTGCACTGCAGGATCAAGTGCTTGTCTGTTGTCAGAGATGGAAAATGTTCTTGATAAATGAATGAATGGCTAATTTAATGACCTTCCTGTATTTCTGCTAGCTGAGGTTTTTTAATCGACGAGAGACTTAGAGGATCCAATTTCAGAAGACAAGACCTCAAGATGTACACTATTTTAGGAAGATCCTAAATCAACTAGTCTTTTTTAAAATCTTGGGCATGTTAAGCAATTCAGTAAAAACAAGTGTTGTATGTGTACTAGGCTCCATCAGGTAGGTTGAGCAGATTCTCTGCAATGTATTTGTATTTTCTCTTGTTAGAAGGCTGTCTCATTAGTAACACAGGTTACACAGCATTTAATGGTGCACTTTAGACTTGGCTCAAATTCTCCATGTTATGTGTTTAGCTAAGTGTTATTTTAACATAATTGGATAGCACCTATGTACTTACTTGAAACTGTAGTTGTCTGCAATTTGCTTCAAGTTTTTCTAGCTAAATCAAGTGTTGCATCATAAGCAATAGAATATAAACTGGTGATGAGGTGCTAAGTGCAGTGTTTGCAAAAGGAGAACAAATGTTTATTATTTACCCTAACAAAATGAAAGCTATGGCAATACAACTGTTCATCCAAGTTTTTAGCAACCAGCCAGCAAAATCCTAAATCTGAAGGACTGAGGTGTTATAAAGGACAAAAAAAATTACCTACCCAGCTTCTAAACACCATGGCAACAAACACATGGAGTACCTGTGTGTTTGGGAGTAGCATGCAGCAATTTTATTGGTTATTAAGTACTTAACATGTTAAAATGCAAAGTTTATAAAGTTTTGCCCTGTAATTATGAACAATATTTCACCTGTACCACAATTTATTCAGATTTTGGCAATTTCTCTTCATTGGGATTTGGCTAGATAGTTAGGTCCCTGTATCCAGTGAATGACCATTAAAGGAACGTTCCCTAAATAGTTCTCTCTCTGCTCAGCTGTATTTGCTGAATGGGTGAGGCAAATAAAGTTATCAGGCAGGTAGTTATACTGTTTCTAGGGCTAGATGATGTTGCAAGGTGGAATAGGAAAACTTATATGTAATCACTATCCTGGACTCCCTTTCCCCTCCTTCTAGAAGAGTATATTCCTGTGCTACATTCTATCACCTAGTCTGTCCAATTGTTCCTTAGATTATTTTTTGCCACAGACCCTGCACACTGCTTAACATAAAAAGAGTCCACTCCCAATGGTCTCTTCCACATGCCTTCACAATAAGGGTGCTTCTGCACCTGGGGTAGCTAAAACTAGAAATGTGTTCTGTAAGTGGGTGGAGTTGAATTGAATAATTCCATCACATTCTTAACAAAAATCAGAAACCTCTGCACTGACTTCAGTGCCATGGGCCATCTCTGCCACTGCCACCAGAACTTTACCTTATATCAAGTGCATCTACTTCTGTGATGTTCTGGTTTCCATCTGTTAGAGAGATCAAAAAGTGATTTAGCCACAAAAGCATTCATTTAAAAGAAACAATTTAAACTTACACATCCAGCCTTAAAGTTTAGTTGTTAATGTGAACCAAAAGCTCATTCATGCATCAGGTAAGCAGGCATGCAGGTCAACAGCCTCAACAGCATTTGTCTGCACCCACAGCTTTTGGAGGCTGTTCTGAAAGTTGTAACTCCCAACAGCTGAATTTTAAGTGGTCAGGACATGCATATTTTCTATCTGTCCGTGTATCTGTACCTATAGAGACACAGTCAGAGATTGTGATTTTATATGACCAACTAGCTGGCTGTGGTTTTTTTGTAAGAGTCTCTAACACAATAGTTACAATTTTACATAATTTAAAAATACACTGGTGATGCTGCTAATACAAAGCTGAGTATTCTCTTTGAGGTTGGATGCAGCACATGAGTAGTGTAACAGTATGCACAGCTAATGACAACACAGAAGATGCAAGATTTATACCTTTTCTTCTGCTAAACTATGTAGATATAAGTATCTCCAGTAACAGAATGGACATAAAGGTAAGAATGTGGGAACAACAAGGAACACTCACATCTTGGGAGTGTGCAGAACTACAGACTTGCAGATGGTTAGGCCAAAATATTTACTCCTTTCAGTTAAACATCTCAATGGGCTATAAAATCACAACTCCTGCTGCTACTGGTAGAGACTTAACTACCACATTGTGAAAACCTTATATTATACTGTACCTGAGGTGGTTAATATAGGTCTGCTATCCAACTGGGTTTGGCCTGCAATTATAAGAGAAGAAGTCACATATATTTTACAAACTACTTTGTATATACAATACTACATTTTCACATCTGGTTTTCACACCTGATTAAATTCTTTTGCAAAACTAACATATCTATATTGATAGAGAAGAAAAGTTCATAAAGGCATTAGAATAAACTTGCAGAAATTTGGACTTGGCTGATGCAGAGAAAACCTGGAAAAGAACTCCTCCCAGACTTGTATCTCTGAGTAGCAGGTATTTGTTTATTCAGTGCTGGGCACAAGGGGGATGGTTCCACCAAACTTGCGCAACCAGGGACAAAAACTTCATTATTTCTGGGAATGGGTGGTTATTCTTACTTTGGTTCTCAGAAATCATCATCATATTCTCCTCCCTCACCCCTCCCCCCCCATTTGGCATTAGTCCAGTGGTCTCTGGTGGTTGTCTGGGGATCTTCAAGAGGAAGGCTGACAATCTTCATCAGTTTGAACTTTTCACCTCATCCCTTAGCACATGCATATTATACTTGTTTTTTTACTATATTGGTGAGCTCAGCACTCTTCTATGTTAATTAGGTAAAGCAATCCTAAAATTAGCATTCTAATTCTTGATTTAGGTCTTCTCTTGTATAAGATAGAGCAGTGTCCTGTTATGGACTATTATCTTGTTATGCTTGATTTGTATCTTTGGGGCCTACTTCTTGTTATCATGGCTTTAGAAGCTTTAATGTTGAACACCACAGCACAGGAGAGCAGGGGGTGGCTCAAAGGAAGTAATGTGTTTTTAACCATTACTATATACATGTAAGCATCCCACTGGCAAATATCATTCAAGTGTTGTGTCTTACAATTATTGCTAGTAACCTGAACACACAAATCTGTATGTTAAATTTATTTTTGTTTGTGTAACTGAGTTGTGTAACTGAGATCTGGCCAATGCTTTTGTCTCAACTCAAAGCAACTCCTCCTCAACTCCCCCTAAAACAGATCATAAAATGTTACAGTCTTCAAACTTTAAGACAGAAAATACTGTCACATAGACACAAGAACAGAATTCCTGGGCTGAAAGAAACTAGCGAAAGATGTTTTTCCTGTTATTTTAGTCCTGTTTAGTCAGTTCCTGGTCTTTAGCTTTTCATTGCCACTCTCATATTGCAGTTTCATTCAAGTAAATACTACTTGAATTATGATTTAGGAAAAGCTTTCTGCTTGTCTTACACAGGCTTGTTCTAAAAGTTGATTGCTCTCAATGGGACTATATGTTTTAAATCTCATGAAGAAGGATTGTTTCAGAGGAATCAAAAGTCAGGCATAAACCGGATTACAGTGGAATCTGAAAGCATCTTTCCCTGCATACGTGCAAGGGGCAAAGGGCATGGCACTTAGAAAATCCCAGCAAGCGAATGGCACACACAAAGAAGTCTCTGCAAGCCAAGCTGCTCCTTAGGGGACCCAACGCCCGGAGCTCTGCTGCTCTCCCCTGACCTCCCGTTACACCCCGCGGGTGCCGAGCTCCCCGCGCCGGCTCAGGAGGGGGAACCTCGCCCTCAGCGCCGGGCACGGGGATTTTCCTGCAAATAAACTTCCGCGTTGGCAGTGGCCGCCACCTTCCTTCTCCTGCACACCACCTCCCC